GCCGGCCGCCGCCGGTCGCCACCTTTTCTGGCCAACTTGCTCCGATCGGGATGCATTTTATATCTACGCGAAGCTCTCGTCGACGCCAACAACATATCCGAACCTCAACGACAAATTCCGACGAAAGGACTTCCGATTTTCCGGCGAAGGCTCGTAGATCTACAAATCTCTTCAACCTTCAAATTCAAATTGTCGGTGACTCACATGGACCCACCAAAATCTGAAGGCACTCTCGGACTCGTCTCGCCGGACCGCACATTTTTCCAGCCACCGTCGCCGGATCCGGCGAACTTTTCCGGCGACCATTTTTCCGGCGAACGAGCACCCACCGAGTTTCCGGTTAGTATTTTTGAGCTTTTCTTGTTCTATGCCATCGATTCCTTTCGTTTGGTACATTTTCCGGCGATCGGATCTCCGATTTTTATATATTTCTCTACTTTCGAACTCCGACGAACGTTTTTCTCGAAAAATTTTCCTAGTCCAATGTTTCGATTTCGATTTGTATTTCCGTATCTATCATTATATGTGTTGTGCTTGGATAACTATTCTTGCCGGAGTAGTCGTGTGAGATATTTGGGTTAGTCTTGTGTGATTTAGGCACGTCTTGCCGGGCGTGCCACATATACGTATGTTTTTGCCGGGAGTTTGAGTTGTAGGTACCTACTTACGGCAAGCGCCGGTAATCGCTTATGCGTTGCATACATACGGAGTTTGTTGTGTTGGAACATGGCGGGGATCGACAAGGACTTCGAGGCCCGATCTTTGCGCTTTCACGTGAACGTGTGTCTACGTCGAGTTTATGCATTCTTGGTTACTATCACTCCAAGACACACACACATAGCCTCTCTCGTTTCAAGTACTTAAACGATAAATCGTTCGGATGGCTCAAATTCGCGCTCAATGGTCTTCTGTTGACCTCCTCTATTCCCTCCGGATGACCACTATTGGACACACGGTGGTGATGACCACCGTGTTGAGTACGCATTTTATTTTCCTATTTTCTCCTTCTCTATTTGCTTCTTGTGTGTCTTTGTGAGATTTTGTCTTGTTTGTTTGTCTTTGTGTCTCGTCTTCATTTTTATCGCATGAACGTACGTGATTATGTGCTTTTGCCTATACTTTTTGGTCAAGCAATGAGGACATTGCTTTGTTTCAAGTGTGGGGGAGAGATTTCGTGATTATGCATGTTTAGGTGATGTTCTCTTCATTTTTGTGCCTTATTTTTCGTATTTGTTGTGTCATGGACCGGTTTTATTTGAATTTTTGTGTGTTCGTGTCATCTCTCCCGCATGGAACTTGATGTTTGTTCGAGAGTCGAGATAGCTAAGTGGTGAGTCGAGATTATTGATTGGTTTCACTATTAGCATTCATGCTTGATGTACTTGATGAATTTGACGGTTTCCTTAGATTGATTGACGATTCGTTGACGTTGGAACTCGCATGTGGATTAACGGAATTATTTTGTCCTTGGTTTGTTCTCGATTGGTTGTCTTGAGGCATGCTTACCTTATGTTCGATTATCGTTGTAAACGTGTTCTCTATACACTTGTGGTACATTTCGATCGAGTTGAGATGATTATGTATTGTACTTGTGATGTATCCTTGTGTGCCTCTCCCTAAAAAAAAGAGAATAAAAAGTGAGTTCGCGGGGAAGTACGGATTAGGCTCCTCTTATTCCGAGCCATTCGTGGATTGGGATAATGAGCCCGGGAAACCAGTTTAGGAAACTCGAGGAAACCCCTCGAGGTTAAACCTAGATCATCTCGTCCGGAAACCTCGTTTGGAAAAAGAAGCTCACGAAATGAGTTCGTGAGAGTCGAAGGGATTAGGCTCCTCTTGGCTCGGTTAATCTTTTAGATAGATCGAGTCAACGAGCACGGGAAACCGGCCTAGGCAACTCGGGGACAAACCCCAAGGTTAAACCTAGGTAATAATCGTCCTAACGGCTCTCATTTGGAAAAAGTGGCTCATTCAAAAAAATAATAATAATAAAAAAAATAATATAATAAAAAAAAAATCGGGGAGTTGGCCTATTGATCTTGTGCTTATTTCACGTTTTGTAGATCATTTATGGTTTTTGCACGTATATGTGAATGAGGGAGTTTGACTCGAGCGATTATATGTGGAATGACTTGGGACGGGTTTTTGTTTCGTTTGATTCATTATGTGGGAACCGTGTCTCGGATTGGATTTTGATTTTGGGATAACCGTATGATAATGAGAGTTTCATTTTGCATGTTCGTTAATCGTTGACCGTTCAATATATCTCTTCAAGCCATTTGTTATTTTGTTTGCTTGAGGACAAGCAAAAAGCTAAGTGTGGGGGAGTTGTTTGTTATGTTTTTGTGCTTATTTTTATGTGTTTATATGTGATTTCGAGTCGGTTCTAGGTTCGTTTTTAAGTCGACCGGTCCATTTTGTCGCATTTTGTGTGATTTTATGTTTTCCATTTCATTTTATATTTTGGCGTACTTTCCCGTGCTTTTGGTATATTTTCAGGTTTATTCCGGGGTTGAACGAAAAGAGTCGAACCACGAATCCAAAGAAATGTCGAGCCATTCGCACGAACCATTTCAAACCGAGAGTTTCGAACCTTAGTCGATGCGGTCACAAGTTAAGCAGGCCCAACTCGCGAGCTCGCAGCCACACCCGCGCACCGCACGCCAGCACACCCGCGCGCCGCACGCCAGCACAACCGCACAACCGCGCACGATGCTCCTGCCAACACGCGTTCCGCTCGCCAACTCGCGAATGATCTGGCGTGCTCGAGAGTGCACGATCGCCACGCCCCTCGCACACTCGCGACCTCGCGTAGAACCTGGCGAGCTCGAGAGTGACCCACCCGCATGCTGCACGCTGCCTGCCACTCGCGTGCTCGCGCCAACAGCCGCGACCTCGGGAGTGCCCATGTGCCCATGCTCACGCACGCACCCGTGAGCCACGCCAACGCCGTACGCGACCTCGCGAATTACCCCGCGGCATCGAGAGTATCTCGCCCGTGCACCTGTGCTGTGTAGCACTCGCGAGCTCGCGAATTTCATGGAGAGCTCGGGAGTGTCTTTTTAATTGTGCGTTTTTCTAGTGTGTGTTTGGAGTGGAGTATAAATATTTTTCTTCCTTTGTATTTTGGGCATCCAACTCTCATTTTTCACTTTTTCTCTTTGGGAAATTAGTTTATGTTTTATTTTTTGTTCTCTAGATTAGGAGCTTATGCTATTTTCCGGGAGATTTTCCGGCGACTTCGGTTTCGTTCAAGTTTCGAGCTTTTGACTCTGTTTTTCATCGTCTACGCAATGGGAGATTGAGTATTTAGTTTTAAAGCTCTTTACTTCGTTTTTGCTCCGGTTTTACTTATAATGTTTATTAGAGTAAATTGGATTTGATTGATGAAGGTGGAAATGCTTGAACTTGATTGCTTGCTTGAGTAGATAGAGCCGTTAATTGCTTGTTGATCTCGGTTAGGCGACTAGGGTTAGCAATCTAATGCTCGTAGCTCGTTTATTCCATATGTCGATTGATTATCATCCCGTATTGGTTATGGCATGAGACTCCGGTGATCTAGGTTGCGAAATGCTCGTCTTTTAATCTTGCTTTCAATCAATTGTTCGTTTTTAAGTGCTTAATTAGTGTTAATCAACCATCCAATCAATTGTTTAGAATGTTTAGGATTTTATTTTTGATTTTTGTGATTTGGACGATCATTTAGTAGACGAAGCTCCGAATATCCTTCCTTCGAGATCGACCCGAGTCGGGTAACTCGGTTATCCTTTGCCCATCAAATCTATACTCAACAATGTTCCCGGTCATTTAAATGTAACGACATCCAAACACATGAAAATATTTCACACTCGTAGCATTACCTTTCCAAAGCTCATAAGATGTCAACCCAGTACCTTTCCTGCGAAACACATGGTTACTGATGTAACAAGTCGTGTTGATGGCTTCAGCCCACCATCTCAAAGACATTCCCTGTGAGATAAGCATCACTCTAGACATCTCCTGCAGGGTTCTGTTCTTACATTCAACCACTTCATTATGTTGCAAAGTGATATGAGATGAAAACTAATGAGATATACCACGAGATTCACAAAAGAATTCAAAACCATGATTTTCAAACTCCTTTCCATGATCACTCCTAATAGAAACAAGGTTAGTCCTTTTTTCATTTTCAAGTTTCAACACAAGTTTTTGAAAAGCTTCAAGTGCATCGGATTTATCTTTTAAGAAATCTACCCAAAAAAATCTTGAAAAGTCATCCACACACAAAAGAATGTATTTCTTACCACTGTAGCTCTCAACTTGTTTTGGCCCCATTAGATCCATATGCATCAACTCCATGATTTTGTTTGTACTCACATCTGTCATCCTCTTGTTTGGGGCCCTTTTCTGCTTTCCCATCTGGCATGAACCGCAAACACTTGTTTATCCTTCTTTAGTTTTGACAGACCACAAACAACACTGTAGAAGATAATTCAAGTAAGTGGGGGTAATCAATATGTCCTAATTTCTGATGCTAGAGTTCAACCACTTAAATACTGGCCTTATTACATTTTAGTTCAAGTTCAACTAGGTAACAATTATCCCTCGACCTAGTGTCAGTAAGAACACGATTGCTTTCTTGATAAAAAACAAGACATTCAGATATAGTAAAGTTCACATTAAGACCCTGATCACACAACTGACTTATACTCAATAGGTTTGCTTTCAAATTTTGAACAAGAAGAACATTTTGAAGCTTAGGTAATCCAAGAACGTTCAAACACCCAATACCAGGAACCTTATTTTTAGCACCATCACCAAATGTTACAGAACTAGAAGGTACCGAAAAAATATTGGTCAAGTTAGATTCTAAGCATGTCATATGACGAGACAACTGCTGTCAAAATGCTAATCAGAATAAGAGGTGGATTTCAATGCAAGTATAGACGACAAACAAATGTTCTTACTGCTTTTAGGAACCTGAATCTTTTTCTCTTCATGATTAGACATATCAACCTTTAGTTTTGGCGCTTTCAAAGGTATACCATGTGGACTCCATTCATCAATTCGACCAGTATAAATTTCATTTTGCATCCTATAGCATCTAGGACGAATATGACCACGAATACCACAATAGTGACATGTAGGCACAAAGTTCTTTCTAGAGTTCTTATGCTGAGTCTTAGTAAGCTTAGGCTTACTATTCTTACCATCGATACTGTAACCTTCTTTAACAAAGACAGATCAGACTTACCCAGAGACGTGCTTGGTACACCAACTTTGCCTTTCAATTTCTGATTAGAGAAGCTCTTACTCTGGTCTGAAATACCTACCTGTTGGCTCAGTCTTTGAACTTCAGCAAATGAGAATTTTGGCTTCTTAGTCATCTTGATAATCTCTTCACTATTGTTGTTGCTGAGTTTCTCCTCCATGGTAGAAAAATAGCTTTGCAGCATGACATAATCATCCATCACTCGACCAAGCTCTCCTTTGAGTGCAACAATTTCGGCCTCCTTTTCCCGACAAGATTCTGCACAACAAACAATTCATTACGCAAGGATTCAATATTAAGATTTTTCTCATCACTTACATGTTTGCTCAATTTGTCGCCGTTTTCCAGTAGTGCAATTTTGGCAATGCAGCTATTGAGATCCTTGTCTTGCTTTCCAGTGTGGAGATCAGATTTGATGAGCTTTTCATTCAATTCAACAGTCAGGACTTGCATTTTCTGGAAGTTCACTCCTGAGATAAGTAATCTCCTTTTCGAGTTCTGTCGATTGGTGTTCCAACAACTTCATATTCTCTATCTGGACTTGATACTTCTAGATGACTTTGTCAACATTTAGACACTTCTCTATGGCATATTTATGAAGCACAAGATTCTCCTGAGCTGGATCCGAGAACTCCTCAAGTTCAGAGTCTCTTGAGCAGTGAGCGCAAGAACCTGCTTCTGACTTCACATCAGTTAGGTGAACTGAGGACATAAAACACTTATACTCGTTGAGGGGACATTTAGCAAGATTGTTGATGTGTAGGGAGTTTTTAGTCCTCTCAGGTTCATCATCCTCATCATTACTACAATCAGACCATGTTACCTTATAGATCTTGTTCTTCCTCTTGAAGTTCGGGCATTCCTTCTGAAAGTGACCGAATACTTTGCATTTCCTACACTGATCCTTTTCAACTCCTTGGTTGATGTTCTGAACCTTGTTCGGTTGCACGCTGGAGCGTCGCTCACCAAATTGCTGAAAAGTGTTCTTACCACCTTCAGAGGGCTTGTTATCTTGACACATTTTTTTAAAAAACTTCTTTAACTTTGAGAAAACTTTGGTAAGAACAGTGGGGGCCTTACTAATCCCTTCAGCATCAAAAACTTCTTTATCTGAATCGTCTTCTTCCATTACCGTGTACGAACCTTGGCTTTTAGTGCTAAGCCTTTTTCTTTACCTCCCTTCATTGAGTCAAAGCTGTGGTTTATTTCAAAAGTACGTAGGTCGTCAAGAAGATCATCAATTCCAAGTGGTTTAATTCTCATGAAACTCTCCAAAGCAGTGATCTTGATTCCAAACCTTTGTGACAAAGTTTTCATCAACTTTTGTACTTGTCTTGCCTCTGATATCTCTTCACCCAGCATTGCGCTTTGGTTTACAAGGTCACAGAAGCGAGCATCGTACATATCTATGGTCTTATCATCTCTCATCCGGATCTCATCAAGTTTGGTAGTGATCCTTTACAGCTTCGAAGATTTTACTGCGTTCGTACGTTCGAACTGTCTCTCAAGAATTTTCCACGCATCACGAGCAGTTGTGCATTGAATGATCATCTTATGGCAAGTTGGATCCACAACAGACATAATTACATACAGTGCACGAAAATTGGCTTTTATGCTAGCCTTTCCGCATCAGTCCACAGATCCTTTGGTTTCTCGACTAGAACAATAGTAGCCGAGGTTGATGATTTTGACTCCCAGGACTCAGAGATCTTGGATTCATAAGGAGCTTTAGGCATGAGTGTTGTTGACCAGCCTGATTAAATGACTTGCCAAGTTGTTTTTCCAAGAGAAGGAAGAAAAATTACCATCATGGATTTCCAGTATCCATAGTTCGATCCATCGAGGTACGGAGGGCGCGAAACAGACATGTCATCGTGATTTACGGTGACCAACCCAAAAGCCCAAAGATCTTTATCCTGTAAGTAGAACAGGAACACTGCTATGGTGTCTATTGAAAAGTATACGTTTAGAGTTTAAGGTGCTCAACACGGCTTGTTACAAGGTATGAAAAGTTTGCATTGAAGGTTAAATGAATTCCATATCACAAGCTATTCCACTTATATATTTTTTGTTGACACGAGAAACTTTCCATACCTTGTGACAGGAAAGTCGTTTAACCTTCAATGCAAACTTTTCATACCTTGTAACAAGTCATGTTGAACGCCTTAAACTCTAAACATATACTTTTCAATTGGTACCAGAGCAATGTTCCTGTTCTACTTACAAGATCATGGTCTTTGGGCTTTTGGGTTGGTCACAATAAATCACGATGGTATGTCCGTTGCGCGCCCTTCGTACCTCGATGGATCGAACTATGGATACTGAAAATCCACGATGGTAATTTTTCTTCGTTCTCTTCAAAAATGAACTTGGCAAGTCATTGAATCAGGCTGGTCTACACCGCTCATGCCTAAAGCTCCTTTTGAATCCAATATCTCTAAGTCCTGGAGTCAAAATCATCAACCTCGGCTGCTCTTGTTCTAGTCGAAAAACTAAGGGATTTGTTGACTGATACGAAAAGGCTAGCAGAAGAAGCTAATTTTTGTACTATATGCAATTATGTCTTTTGTGGATCAAACTCGTCATAAGATGATCATTCAGTACACAACGATTGTGATGCGTAGAAACTTCTTAAGAGACAGTTCCAAGGTTCGAACATAGTGAAATCTTCGAAGCTACAAAGGATCACAACCGGAATTGATGAGATCCGAATGAGAGATGTTGAGACCATACATATGTACTATGCTCGCTTCTGTGACCTTGTAAACCAAAGCGCATGTGAAGAGATATCAGAGGAAAGACAAGTG